GGGGATCTTGGACCCTCGTCTTCAAAACCTCGGGACGCCATTCCTGCAAAAAAATCACAAGTTGTTTAAACCGGGAATGGAAAGCGATCGGGGAGTTAGGGTCAGGGACGGTTGGTTAGTGTTAGACATTTTCCTTTCCGCTTTTGAGCGGGAGCCTTCGCGATCGTCACGCCTATCGGCACGGGTTGGTATTTCTCCGGCAAGTCGTAGACCGGCGCGGGCAATCGATCTTCATCGTAACTTTCCGCTGTCCGAAAAATCTTGTATTCGTGGATCTCACTTGAGATCCGACTGACTGCATCCCGGAGGGCTTGAGTCTCGACTGGCGTAACTTGCTTCCGAAAATGGGTGCTCCAAACTCTGTCAACCGGGAGGATCCAAGGGTCATACTTGACCGAGAAGATCCTGTTCTTCCACCCTTTATTGTTCCCGAGCAAACTCGCGATCGAGCACATTTCGGCCCGGGATTGCACCATCAGAAATCCACCTCTATAGCTGGCCGGGAGAACTTTCACCTGGTAGATGAAGTTGAATAGCTCCATGGTGCAGGCCACTTCATGCCGGGCGCAGATCTGCGGGAAGCAAGCGATTATCCTATGCGAGTTCGAGCAGATCTGGGCCGGGACAACTTGGTAGTATCCCAGGAAGGCTGTCAGGAGAGGAGGAAATGGGAAAGCGATCGGGGCCCTCAGGGAGTCGAAGTGCATCCCGATCCATTTTCCCCGATGCCGATCGATTATATTCCCGAGCTTCCGGCTTGTGTCGAACTCTACCCGACCGTTGAGTCTTGCGGCGATCTTGGCCGCTTCTCCCTTGGTTAGTCTGCTCATCTGTTGTTCGACGTTCTCGCTGTTCAAGAACTCAAACCCATCAACGGCCGGCGCAGCCGGGTCGGCTGGATCTTCCTCGACCGGCTCTGCTACATCTTCTTGGTTGTCCCCTCGAGGAACGGATTCAGGGTAATCCCCAATTACCCGAGTCAGCGTGTCCCTAACGCCATCAGTCGGGGAGCCTCGCCCACTAGTCGAGGTCTCCCCGCTTTCTCGGCTCGAGCTGGACCCTGACGTCCCGGATGAGCTTGACGACCTTCGTCGCTCGGGGGCTTGCGCGGGGGCTTTTCCTGGCCGTTGAACGACCTCTGGCGAGTAGGACATAATGTCCACTTCCTCCTCGCCGATGTGCCCAACCTCCTCGTCGTAATCCGTGACCGAGACGTTTTGGCTATCTGAGTTAGACATTGTGTTTACCTAAAGGCCGGTCGGGATTAGTCTGGGGCTCGGGAGGTTTGGGTCGAAGTTATATGAAGCATATGCCTGGCTATGTAGAAGCGTAGAGCAGTAAATAAAAGCTAAGGATCAGAGAACTTACCGATCGAAGATACTTAGCTGGAAAAGGCTTGAAAGCTGCTTGCTTGATTGATCTTCTAGACTGCTTCGCTCGGGATGCTCTGAGTATACCGAGCGATTCAGAAGGTTGGAGAAAGTTCAAATGAAATCCTTGGAGGCCTATTTATAGGAGAGCATTTGGGCGGGAAGCCAATCCACTCACGTGATGCGACCGCTCCTGATTCCGAGGTGACCATTGCAGTCGCAGAGGCTGGCAGTCGTCGACACGTGGCGCAAGGGAATGACAGCTATCCGGTCGGTTTGGCGGCAGACTGTTGGGCTTCTTCATCCCGTCCCGTTTTTTCCTGGACGGTCAAAAAGGCACGGGCTGGGGGGCTCTTGGTAGGGAATACCTCGACCGACATGCCTTTGTCCTTTTGCTCTTGTTTTTGCAGGTTACAGGTCGGATTTTCTCTAAAGAACCTGGTCAGTCTTCGACCAGGCAACTCCCGACCGGCATCGTCGACCACCGAGCGATAGCCCTTAGGCGAGAGCGTTGAGAAGAGACACGTGGCAGCACCAGGCGCTGACAGGCAGGGCACCCAGGAGGGCGACACGTGGTTGCTACGTGGGTGACATGACGGACGGCCGGACTTGTGTCTCCGGCCCCGCGGCTATAAATACCCGCCGACGCAACAGTGTGAGGGACTTTTGGACGATCGATAGGTTGTTATCAGAGAATCCCGACCGCAGTCAGTCGGTACTCGGAACAACCATTTAGATTGTACTTAGGACCTTCACGTGATCAATAAAATCCTTTATTTGCTTTAATTGGTCTCGTATTATTGCTTAATTACCCTTACGTGGCAATTAACACTATCAGACATGGAATGACCATTTTTCCCCAATGAATAAACAATTTAAAAACTTTTACATTTTTCCGGTAACATTTGGCTGGCAATTTGGCCGTCAGGACCAAATCTGCTAACAATTACATAGTTAAATGACTAAATTGAGATTTTTGAAAGTCGAGTACTCAAATTACCAACACCCCAATAGTCACAAGACCAAAATTGCAATTTGTTCTTTTTTTCTGTTATTTCTCAACTTTCTCTTTATTGTTTACTAATGGAGTCAAATTTTGTCACTACCTCTGATCTATCTCCCAAGACAATGAAAAGTTCTATAAGGCTTTGGTTGATGCGTTGTTATTTGTCCAAAGAATATCAACACATAGTCGTCAACCACCAAGCACTGGTTTCATGACTCCAAGGTACATATTGCAGTTCTACATTTTTCAAACAACAATGTATTTTAATGATATTAAATTAATATTAATATTTATGTTGTATGTTGTATGTTAGGAAGTCATACATCAATATATTCTAATTGATTGAAAATAAAAATAAAAAAAAAAAGAATAATTGGCTTAAAATGAATCTGATATTACTAATTGATTGAAAATATAATATGATCACTAATTATATTAAGTGATATTCTACCATTATATATTTTCACCTGAGTCCCCCGTTCGGATGGACTGAAGGTGTTAGCTCTAGACGAGGATGGATAAGATTGTGTTGCCACTACAAATGTCGTCTACAAAGAGATTTCAATAATGTGTAAATATAACCGGTGATATTATGTTTTTTAATGAAAAAATTGTTATATATCTAGACAAAAAATATATTTTCCATACAAATAAAATAGGATATCAATTCATTCTTATAACTGAGTTGCTAGAGAACGGGCACATTTGCCTAATTTAAAAAAATACTGAACAATGATAAATAAAATCTCCAAAGTTACAACACTGTATGCGTACATGTACACATTAGATATTAATTTGAGCAATTATTTGCTCAAATTTAAGCATTGATAACATAAAAACACATAAACGATCCAAACCATACCTTCAATTACACTATATAATATTTGATGTTCTAATTTAAATAATTATATATCGATCCAAATATTCTTAATATATTATAACAATCCATTCGGTGCATCGCACTGGCGCAAATACTGATTTTTTAAATAAAACATTTAGGGACGTTTATTATAAAACATCATTGATTATATATCTTTATTGACAAAGAAATTATATTTCGTCAGTAAATATTCCAAAAAATTTCACTTTATATATAGTGACGTTATTTAATATAATGTCGCAAATTGTTATATTTAGCGACGTTGTTTAGAGCGTCGTTAAAATTTTCGTCGGGAAATACAAGATTTCTTGTAGTGGTGATTCGGAAACTTTTGTACTTCACTATTCTCCTTAGCTCCAATGATATTCCACTAATATTTAGGTTACACAAATACAAAGTGGATAAAACCATGTAGATTCTTTCAGATAGTCCTTGAGATAAAGGTCATCCATCGTGGATTTATTTTTCAGTATTTGATTAGAGCTAGCCAATGGTCGCCGTCCACTAAGTCGCATAGCTATGTTGATTGCATAACATCTTTTGGTTGAATATGGTTGTAAGTGTTGAGTGGTGGACTATAGAAATCAATTTGCTTTCTCTTCAGTTTAGAAGTCTGAATGTAGATGATTGCTTAAACACTTGCACTTGATCACTTTTCACTAGCACAACATAACTAATATTTTCTTTTAAGTTTCGGATCCTCCTTTTATAGACGAAGAGGCGGGGATGAGCGCCACTCTTTTGAAGCTGCTCAAACAACAAACGTTGGACTGTTTAGCTTAGCTTCTAATCTTTATGCTCATTAGGGAGACTCATTCCTTATTAGTTATTACTCCATATCACGACTTCTTCCCCCTACCTAAGTGTCAAAATCTACATCCTTTTATTTCATGAGCGCGCCTCTTGTAGGGTGTTCTTTCAAACTCCTTGGCTCTTTGGTGTTTCCTTCTCTCCTCCTACTTTATTATTTTGTTACAATTCCCATGTAAATCAAATACTGTAATTGAAATCTCATTAATTCTATTCTTACCAACTAAATAATGAAAATTGAATTCATATTTTAATTATAATTATTCATCTTCTATGCAATTACAAATTTTTTTCATTCTTATTTCTCTCCACGCAACCGAACTCTCCAGTAAGGAAAGAAAAAAAAAATAGATTCTCGTATGAGCAGCTCAACTAATCGCAAGATAAAATTTGTCACAAGAGACGAAGGATCAAGTCTCACCAACATCAGTGTGTCCAGTGAACAAAAATCTAAATTTAGTAAAATCACCATGATTAACCCCTCAATAAACTGTCAGATTGGAATGTGGGGCGTCTGTAGTAGGCGATTCTATTTTTGTCACAAGGAAAGAAAAATTAGAGATTGTTTGATATAAGTGTCTCAAAGGTCAAAATGAAACTTGCCCACACAAGATGAGCTTGCCCCTGATGACCTTTGCCTTGCAAGGTCTGCCTTTTAAAATTTTAAATAATATAAAATAAACATTCAATACATAGAGTACGACAAGTCTTAATTTGGAGGGTGTGTTCGATTCTTGTCTTTAAGAATGGAACATCCAGACCAGCTATTCCACCCACTATATTGGACAGTAGAAACTCTGGATATATTTTATTTTTTTTTTTTAAAACAGTAATTCAAAACAATGACACTAATTATGCATTTTATTTCCCTGGGTATACCCCCCCCCCCCCCCCCCACACAAAAAAAAAAAAAAAAAAAAAAAAAAAAAAAAAAAAACCACAAATCCGATCCGTTCTTATTCAAAACAACAATGACACTAATTATGCATTTTATTTCTACGCTTCCCTTGCTTCTTCCACTTCGCTACTGAGTGGTGCCTCCTCATTACCACTGGTAATTGCATTGTATTCTTCAGCAACTGGATTGAAACGAACCTTCTCCAACGACTTGAAAAAGTAAACATCCTTAACAGCAAGGTACTCCTTCCATGATAAGGTCTGATACATGGGAAACCCATCTTTGTTCAATTTAACTGGCGGTTTAATTTTGACATCAATATTTGGGCCGTAGAAATACGCAACGGAGATGCGGTGATGGGCATTGCTCACAACGGCCCGATGTAACAAGCTTTTGAACCGTCCATTAGAGGCTAACTCCATCAGGTCACCGACATTGATGACAACTGCGTCTTTAACGGGCTCGATGTCGACCCAATTGAGATCGGGCCTGTACACTTGGAGGCCTCTAAGGGTGTCGCTTTGGTATAGTACAGTTATAATGGACGAGTCTGTGTGTGGGGCTAAGCCCATTGCACGGGTTGGGTCTGGACATTTCGGGTACGAGTTCATCTGTAGGATTGATCCCGTACTTTCAGGAAGCCCACCGGGCTTAAACCATTCCACATCTTCACTAGATAGGCCCAATGATTTAAAGAGTAAAGAAACAAGCTTTTCAGCCAGGCCCTTCATTTGTTCTTGGTACTTCTCAATCACATCGCTGAAACAAACAAATTAATCAACAATGTAGATATCATCATTTCAATATATATATATATATATATATATATATATATATATATATATATATATATATATATATATATATATATATACACACACACACAAATACGCAAACACATAATATTATGACACTTTATTATTGAGTGTATATAAATATATATAAACATAAATATACAGTCAACTATGAATTTAAATTTTTAATTGAGAAAATATATCTATCATATAAAAAGTGGATTATAGTTCATATGTTACTTAGAGCATATAAAAATAATAATTGGCCCACACAAATGATGACTCCTTGTTTCAATAATTCAATTATGTAGAAGACACAGATAAGGTATGTAACACGTAACGTTTCTAGGTGGACATTTATCATATAAAAAAGTCGATTATGGTTCAATATTAATACTTTATATTAATTAAAAGTTTAGATTTATTTTAATTTTAGATATTTAAAAAGTTAATGTCATATGAAATTCTTCAAATATAGTGGTTAACTTGAACCACAAATGGTAAAAATTTGAAAATTAAAAGATCACAGATGATCAATTTGAAATTTTAAAACTAAATGTGACAAACTCATTATATTCGGAGGACCCGAATGATATTAACTCATATTTAAATTATAGTAAATAATATATATATATATATATATATATATATTGAAAAAAAAAAAGAATAAAAAAATATATGTATATTGTAACAATAGTAGAAAAGATTATGAAAATTATAAGAATAAGTCTATTTATCCCTAATATTATATAGTATAATTGATATAGTATAATGTATATATAAAAATAATGTAACAAAAATAACGCCGTGTATAGAACTTTGATTCACACTTAGTAGTTTTAGATGGATATATACCAGAAAAGAGAATAATCTTCAGGCCAAACCCGGCGTGCAAGCTCCGATGGCGGCGGTCCCACGACGGTGAATCCTTCCCCCCACATGCGACTGTTAAAGTTGCGAGAACTGGGGACGATGCCGTATCCGGTGGAGCTTTCCGGCGAGCGCTTAGCCCGGAGCTTCTGCTCCGCCGGCAACTCAAAGAAGCGCCGAATCTGATGCTCCGCTTCGGCAAGAAACTCCACGGGAATGCCGTGGTTGATAAGCTGAAAAAAACCCCAAGTCTCAAGAGCCGTTTTCATTTGCTCGACGGCTTGAGGGTCATTAAGGTCGATCACGGGAATAGTTTCTTGGGGTGGAGAAGATTTGATGGGCTCGTCGATCCAGGTGTGGGTGTCGGGAAGTTGGCCGGCGTTGTCGAAATCCAAGGGGGTGATACCATCGACGACCTCGCCGGTCATGGTTGAAACTTAGCAGTGATTGAAGAGAAAAGAGAAAAGTTGGTGGAGGGGTTGAGGAAATAGGCCGGGCAAGTTGTAATGTGATTCACTTGCATGCAACTATTTATACAGAGAGGGGAGAGTAAGAAAGATACTTTGAAATACGTTAAAGAATTTTGTTTTCTTTCAATTACATTATTATTAAATTTACATTCTTAGATTTTGTTTTTCTAATAAAGATAATAAATATATTTTTAAAATTATATATATATATATATATATATATATATATATATATATATATATATATATATATATATATAGAGAGAGAGAGAGAATAAAGTTCAGAATACACAACAGTGTTAACAATATGCACCAACAATGTAAGAAAACACACCACAATGAAATGAAATAAAACATCACAAAATACACAACAGACTCAAAAAAAATACACCATATAACTCACCACCCCAATGGTGTATTTTCGAACAGTGTATGGTGCTTTTACTCACATCTAATGGTGTATGTTTGATGATGCGGGACTCTGTTTACTCTGTTTTTTGTGGTGTATTTCCTAACGTTGATGGTGCATATTTGTTGAACTATTGGTGTTGCCGCACCGTAAGAAATCGCTGCACCGTAAGACACTGCCGCACCTGAACTCGCCTCTATATATATATATATATATATATATATATATATATATATATAGGGAAGGGATCGTGCATTTGTGTCTTCCCGTGCGGTTGTGTGATTGATTAATGTGTGTGAGTTTTATACTTAATATATATATATATATATATATATATATATATATATATATATATATAGGGAAGGGATCGTGCATTTGTGTCTTCCCGTGCGGTTGTGTGATTGATTAATGTGTGTGAGTTTTATACTTAATGTGCGTGAGTCTTGTGCTTAATGTGCCTGAGATTGTACTTAATGTGCGTGAGTATGAAATGTTAATGTGCATGAATTTTGTACTTAATGTGCCTAAGTATTGTGTTTAATGTGCAAGAGGTTTGTGCTTAATGTGCGTGACTTTTAACACAATCACACAGGAAGCTATAAACAAAATACATTCAGACCACAAACGTACTCACACATTAAACACAAAAGTCAAACAAAGACGAAGACGTATATGATGAAGAACAGAGAGAGGGGAAGAGAGGATTAAGGGAATAGGAAGAGAAGACGAAGACGTATATGATGAAGAACAGAGAGGGGAAGAGAGGATTAAGGGAATAGGAAGAGAAGACGAAGACGTATATGAAGAAGAACAGAGAGAGATGAAGAGAGGATTAAGGGAAAAGAGAGGAAGAGAAGACGAAGACGTATACTACTGGAAATTATGGAATTTCCGACCACCTGAAAGTGATCTTAAATCAAGTTGAAAGCAAAAAGTGGTCGGAAATAGCAACAAAGGTTTTTCCGGATACCAAAAGTGGTCGGAACAAGGCTTTCGACTTGATTTAAGATCACTTTCACGTGGTCGGAAATTCCATAATTTCCAGTAGTTATAACAGGAGCACATTAACATTACACACTCACGCACATTAAGTGCAAATCTCAGGCACATTAAACACAAGACTCAGGCACATTAAGTACAAAACTCACGCACATTGACATTACACACTCAGCACATTAAGTACAAAGCTCAGGCACATTAAGCACAAGACTCACGCACATTAAGTACAAAGCGCACACACATTAATCAACCGCACAACCGCACGGGAAGCACCCAACCGCACTGGAACCTTTCACTATATATATATATATATATATATATATATATATATATATATATATATATATATATATATATATATATATATACTAGTCTTTTCTATGCGCGATGCGCAAAAATATATGCCCAATATTTATATTTTTAAAAATAACTAACAAATTTTTACTAATTATAATCTAAGTGAAATAAAATTTATTTATTATATTAATTTAATATATAATGAATATATAATGTTTTACAAATATTGTTATAATTAAAGAATATAAGAAAAGATGTGGTAGATGCAAGTGTATGGTAAAAGTAATGTAAAAGATAACGGAAGTTATAACGGGGTAAGGATATTTTTGTCCAAAAAAATATATAGTACAACTCTAAAAGCACAATGTACAAAATGTTTAGCATTAAAAACATGGACATAAATGAGGGGTATAACTTTGATTGAGACTTATTATGTTTTTAGATATATATATATATATATATATATATATATATATATATATATATATATATATATATATATATATATATATGAATATTCAAGTGCGGCGGTGCGGTTAATTGTAGATCATTAGATTAGATAAATCCAACGAATCACATTCATCAAGGCTTTTCCGATATTTTCGCGCACGTTCTCACACTACGCGAACTGCAAGGTTAAAGTCGTCATTGGGCACCAGAATAGATCAAATCATAGTGTTGTGTGTTTTATGTTCGCTATTGGTGCATTATTAACCTTACTGTGGTGTATTTTAGGATTCGTGTTGGTGCCAAGTTCAGGTGCGCCTTCTCATGCGGTCAGTGTGGGCACACTAATAGTTATACAAATATACACCATCCATATTAGAAAATGCACACCAAAAAAAATGCACAAATTAGATACGCATCACCAGAACGCACCATTAGGTATGAATAAAAGCATCACACACTGTTCAGAAATACACCATTGGGGTGGTGAGTTATATGGTGTATTTTTTGGGTGTGTTGTGTGTTTTTTAGTGTATTTGTGTATTTCATTATGGTGCTTTTTCCTAACACTATTGGTGTCTTTTGTTAACACTGTTTGTGTATTCTGACAAGCGATCGATATAAATGACCAATACAATTACCATAACACCTCCCACTTATCAAGACGCGCTTAAATCTTTAAATCTTCAGAAATTAGCCGCTGCTGTTAAATTAAGCAGAATGGACGATGCTAATATGACCTCACCGCCACACCTAATTAAAGCCACTGTTGCATTTGAGCGCTAATATATATATATATATATATATATATATATATATATATATATATATAATTTGAAAAATATCTTAATAAAGTATCCTTATTTGAAGCCGAAATTTAAGGTAACGGAAAATAATATCTTTATTTGGTAAACAAAATTTAAGAACGTAACTGAAAGGATGAGAAAGACAATATATATATATATATATATATATATATATATATATATATATATATATATAGATATATATTGTCTTTCTCATCCTTTCAGTTACGTTATTAAATTTTGTTTACCAAATAAAGATATTATTTTCCGTTACCTTAAATTTCGGCTTCAAATAAGGATACTTTATTAAGATATTTTTCAAATTATATATTGTACCTACTATGATATTTTTACCATTTTTTCAGATACGTTCTTAAATTTCATTTTTCAAATAAAGATACTACTAGTGTTTGACCCGTGCGATGCACGGGATGTAAATTACATATTATTAATTATGTTTATGTTATGCTAAAAATTGGTTGAAGCAATACAGTAAGAATTTGGAATATAATCATTAAGTATATTTGGGAGCTCAACAAAAACCAACTGAAAATGGTATGTTAGAAATAGTATAAAGGTGATGGTAATATAAAAATAATACATTAGAAAACTACAAATTATTGAAAATTTCATGATATACAACATTAGTGGTTGAGGTTGTAGTTGAACTTGAGTCTTTTGCTATCAATATTTTGAGACCGTCTGGATTATTAACCCGAGATGCAACTACGTACAACTGAGCGTGTACAAAAACCGGTTTCTTTAGTACTAAACCTACATGAGTCAACGTTTGGCCTTGACTTTTGTTTATGGTCATCGCATATGAAAGCATCAATGAGAATTTCTTTCGTTGAAACTTGAACGGCAATCTTGGATCCGATGGTGCCATTGACATTCGGGGGATTAACACTTTTGTACCTTTGTTGGGACCAGTCAGAATCTCGCCTTCAATCACATGATCTACTAGCTTTGTGATTATCAACCGAGTTCCATTGCACAAACCAAGAGAATGGTCAATATTTCTCATTAACATTACTGGTGATCCGATTTTCAAAGTCAGTGTATGATTTGGTAGACCTGAAACCCGAATGCTATTTAGAAACTCCGGTGTGTGTACATCTCCAAATATACCGTTATCGCCATCTGCTTTGCATACTGCGTCTGAACTATAGTATGACCTACTTTCGGCATTGTGCAACTCAGTCATATAGTCATTAACAGTGTTGACAACGTCGAGCGTTGGTGCTAATATGGCACGACCCAACAGGTGCTCGGGGTCAGTGTTTCCACTTGCAAACATAGGAAATGTACAGTGCACAATTGCTTTAATGTCGTCCCCCCCGGATGACACTAACATGTGCATTGGTATTTCAACATCTGCAAACCCGTTATTCCGGCCACCAAGCTTCCCATCGCCGATATTGGCAATCCAGTCAGCAAACTCTTGTAACGCCTGTCGGTTTCCACCATTTGGTACCGAGCTGAGCCTGAGGTTTTTAGTTAACCTTAATACTTTGCAACTATCCCATAGGTATTTGCTACGTTGCTAAACGGCATTCTGCTACTAAAATTTTCCGTTGATGTAGTATGTATTGTCCTTCGTATCCAAGAAGAAACTGTCAAAATGCAGAAACAACGACTATTATTAACAAAAAAATAAGAAAGATCCTTACAAAAAACTGAACTCAAGGGTTTTATTTTAATATAAGTAATAAGTATATTATTTAATTAACAATTTATACCTAGTTGCGAATCTGGTGATCTATTTAGGTCGAACGAACGATTGCGGCGCTTTGTACTAAGTGGTTTATCACGATCCCCCTCATCTCGAGCGCAATTTGCTTTAATCGTATAAAAGCCACACAAAACAGATGTTAGAATGTTAAGTATAGCATTTTACTAATTCCATTCATATCATCTACAAAACTGAACGTGAAAATTAATGTTTGAGATTCGTACTATTTGATATGTTGCTTAACGGTATTCTGCAACTCAACTCTTGCAGCGGTGTATGCCGAATTGTCGTACTAATTACGCTTGAAGCTGTGGATTACAGTATGAAGTCTATATTACCAACTTATTGACTAAGGATATACATTGTGTTAAAGGCCAAACATACCATTTGTAACAATACTTAATGGCGTACTTAGCGAACTTTGGAAAACACCAATAAGCGGTTTACTATTGCCTGCATTCCGGCTGGATTTAATTGGAGACATGTAGGCTTCATCAATGATATTACTATTCTCATTCGCTGCAGCGTAAACACATATGTCTATCAAATATCATAAATCGTTCGTTGGAACACTTTTTGACAATAATAACAAATTATACTGTAATTATCCAATAAGAGTTCGTAAATGATGTCACTATTGTACTGTATAATAATACCGATAATTTTAAACTAATATTGCAAATTTTATATTTAACCATATTATCACATTATTTTTTCTGTAATATGTCATGATAATATTATATAATTATATATCTTTTAATAATAATAATAATAATATAATAATAATAATAATAATAATAATAATAATAATAATAATAATGCAAATCTTTTTGTATAGCAATGTCTCGATTTTTAGAAATAAGGAAAATGCTATTAATCTTCGTAATAGTTTTATTATTTTTATTACTAATAACCTTTAAATATTAAATAGCATAATTGGAACGCATTTGTTCTTATAATAAGCACATTGATGATTGAGATTAATATTTGGCTAACAATTATTTATAAGAACAATAATAACCAAAATACTAATAATAACAATCATACTAATAATAAAAATCATCAGAAACTTTTAGACTAATAATACTATAACAATTATACTAATACTAATAATAATTCTAATAATAATAATAATACAAAGAATAATAACAGTACTAATAATAATAATAATAATAATAATAATAATAATAATAATTAAAATGGAAATGACAGTGAGATGGGTCTCGATGATGTCGCTTTCCTAATCCCTTAAACGCTCAGTTGTGAGCTCATTTCGCCGGGCAATCAACCTGGTTTCTCTCTCTAAAAATGGAGCTGAGTAAGGGGTTAGGGTTCGATTGGTGAGTCTCGTGTACTCTGTACTATGGATTGACGATGAAAATGATGTTTGTGTGGAGAATCGACTGACAAATAGCTCTCGGCATACTCGACGTCTGAGTGTTCATAGTACGGTCACAGCCACAAATCGGAGGTTTGATCTGGACTATCAACGCACTGCTTCGATCCGGTGAACACTATAGTCGCCAGAGTTCATGGGTACATAGAGATCGGACATTCTTGGTCAACAATGTGTGCGATTCGAGTCGGTGACCATTTTTCAGAATCGGTGGTTCAGCTATTCGATTTGGAAAATAACAACAAAATTGGGTATGTATTTCTAACCTAATTAATCTACGTTGTTCAGATGTATATATAAATAGGGATTTTGATACCGTTTATCTACTAAATATGTAGAAGTAATCCGAGTATACAACACATGCATATGAATTTTGCTAACCGTCGAATTTATAGGATGATTTTTAATTTGGAGTCCGAGAAGTTAGAATCCGTTGTTTAATAAGTATATTTTTATTTTTTTTTTTTTATAGTGTACCCAAAAATTTCTTATAATCTCTATCTATATAGGAAGACAGATAGTTATAATAAAGATAGAAGTGTATATAGATTTACCTTGGTTGTTGCTGGGATGCTTCCTCTTCGAACCAATGGTGGTTGTAGATGTAAGTTTCCTCATGTGTTCTTAGGGAGATGTATTGGTTAGAATAAGGAATTGTTTAGGTGGTGTTTAAAACATATGTTTAATCTCTCTGTGTTGATTATATAGTTGTAAAGAACTACTCAATTAATATTTGGAGACAACATTGGAAACTGACCATTATAATGGCTTTTGGAATACTGAAAGGGTTAGTTGTGGTACTTAATGCACCTGGAAGTCCATTAACATAGGTAGATGAATATTATTAGTAATTGCTTTCATACTAAACTGGAATTATCAAATTTGATTGGAATGTAAATAGGTTTCTTATTTAGGTAACATAATATCATAATATATATGTTGTTTTGCAGGTAGACAGTAGTCGGTTCAAGCCCACAAATACTGATGGTTGTGATAGGTTTTATTTGATAAAGATCTGTGTTTGAGACTGTTGTATTTACACATGCTTCGGGGGGCTTAAAGATAAGTTTGTTGTCCATCTAATGTGATTTACAATAAAGATACACACGAATAATGATATTCTTTGAGTGTTGATAAATTATCTAATGTTAATGATTATTTAATTTGTTTAATTGTAATCCTCCAATTGCAGGTAAGCTGGTACACCTACATTATATTTATGTCCAATAATTTGTGGATGCTTCATAGATACAAAGTTGGAGTCCAGAATATTGTATTAACAGTTGCTTCGGACGTCTAAAAGATAAGTTTTAATACCCTGGTATGGCTCAATCTAATGTGATTTCACATGTTAGTTAAGCAGAATAATTTCCTTACATTGTTCCTAACCAAGTAGTACTTTAAGGCAGTTATTCAGTTAATTCAAAATCCCCCAAATGCAGGTAAACTGCACATCAAAAGGTCTTCAACTAACATTAATTGAGGACGCTTGATTTTCACCAAAATTGTTGTCAACAATTGGTAAGTCCCTAATAAGCACTAAAGATCCTAATTAAGTTGCTGCAAGTCGTATTTTAAATTTAACGGTTGTTGGTTCAACTGCAGGTAAGATGCAACACAATCTATATTGTATAAAAGGTCATTGAGGAGATAATCAACTGTAGATTGTTGTCAACAACTGGTAAGTCCCTTAGTTCTCAATTATGATTACTTGGAAACACATTTTTACTTTACTTTCCAACAATAGCTTTAGGTCACTGATAGCTGTTACTGTACTTCATTGAAAACTAATGTATTATATAGTTTACTTAATCTAGTGTTGATATTGTGGAGTGATAAGACTATTTTTTATATACACGTGTCCCTTTGTTCTTTTGTTTACTATTATTTGTCATCTAATATGATTAAGTGATAGAACTTTTTTTTGCTTTTCTCACACATTCATCTTTTAAATAATTGAATGCCTGTTAATTTATGACACTTTGCCAAATTGTTGAGAGATCAAATACAGTTGCACTGTATTGCTTTAATCCTAATACGAATTTAGTAATAGATTGTTGAGAGACCAAATACACTTGGATTTACAGTTGCAGTGTAGTACTACTAACTTTGGCTGCCTTATATGATCTATACTAAATTTAATATTCAGTTTTTATTAGTTTAGGGTGTGTTTGGAAACCTGGAAAATGAGTTCTGAAAATCATTTTCCAAGTTTCCAGTGTTTGGATGTGCCTGGAAAATTAAGTCAACGGAAATCATTTTTCGTTGACTTTGGAAAATAGGCTTGTTTTGGAGGAAAATGACTTCCCCTTTTTTTGGGGGAAGTCATTTTCCAACTTTTACACCAACATCACACCACCACCAACATCATCAACACCATACCACCATCACCACCACTATTGCCGCCGCCACCACCACTATACCCCCGCCACCATCACACCACCACCACTACCACCACCAACACCGCAACCACTACCACCACCACCACCACCGCTGCCACCACCACCACCACCATACCACCGCCACCATCGCCGCCGCCACCACCATTACATACCACCGCCACCACACCACCACCTTCACACCACCGCCGCCGCCACCACCACCACCATACCACTACAACCACCGTCGCCGCCACCACCACCACCATCACACCAACACCACTACCGCCGCCACCACCACCACCACCATACCACCGCAATCACCGTCGCCGCCACCACTACCACCATACCGCCGCCGCCGCCATCACCACCATACCACCGCAACCACCGCCACCATACCACCGCAACCACCGTCGCCGCCGCCACCACCATACCACCGCAACCACCGTCGCCGCCACCACCACCACCACCACCACCATACCACTGCAACCACCGTCGCCGCTACCACCGCCACCACCACTACCACCATACCACCGCCACCGCCACCGCCATCACCACCATACTACCGCCACCACCACCACCACCACCACCGCAACCACACGACCACTGCCACCACCGTCATACTACCACCACCATCACACCAACACCACTACCGCCGCCGCCGCCGCCGCCACCACCACCATACTACCGCAACCACCGTCGCCGCTGCCACCACCGTAACCACCGCCACCACCATCACACCGCCGCCGCCGCCACCACCACGACCATACCACCGCAACCACCACCGTCGCCACCACCACCATACCACCGCCACCACATCACCACCGTCATACCACCACCAATTATTCTTATTATTATTATTATTATTATTATTATTATTATTATTATTATTATTATTATAAAACGAATAACACCACCACCACCATAATATTTTTGATATATTATTAGTTTTTTTTTTTTTTTGAAAAACTTAGCTATTTTTTATTATATTTAAAATTAATATTATATTATTATATATTATTATACATGTTGTAATATTCTAAATAAAATAATTAAAATGTTTAATTATACAATTCTACTCATTTTCCAGAAAATGAACCAAACACAGAAAAACAGTTTTCCATAATGCAACCAAACACTGGAAAGGAAAATGTTTTCCGGAAAATGACTCATTTTCCAGAAAACATTTTTCAAAAGTCATTTTCCTGCTTTCCAAACGGACCCTTAGTTACATTTCTTTAGATGACAACATGCTTCCATGTGAGTGTATCCAACTGTATAAGTGACATAATTAACAAAGTATAGACTTAGGGATAACCAATATTTATAAGTTTTACAAATAGTCATTAGAATAAAAATAGTCTTATTTAATCATTAAAATTTAGAGCACAAAAAACTTCCAAATGTAAAACTTGTATGTTCCTAATGAGTAACCTACACTAATGTTCCTTAATCTTACATAATTATAAAGTGTCAGCTGTATTACATGCTAACATAAACCATTTGATGGTCCTTTTGAATGCTGATTTCAGCTACTTCAACTGACTTGTGTGCCATCAGTTTGGTCCTTAGGGATATGCCTGCCATCTGCTTGACCTTTTCCCACCATGTCTGCAAGCGTTTGCATTCTTTTACCATGATCTCTGCAATCTTTCTATGCCTGTGCCATCAATTTCTGAAAAAAAAAATCCGCAATAGGAATATCACAAATCGAGTACGTTTAACATGTTTGGTACTAAAACAAAAAAACCATACTGCATATCAAAAGGTTCAGTCCAGCTGATGTTCGAAAAACACAATAATGTCACCAAAAACCATCATTCAAAAAAAAAACCAAAAGAGCACATTGTCAGCCATTTAATTCATTACAAATCTGTTTCTTTCTCAATCTTCACAACATTGTCCTTGCTTTTTTTTAGAACTTTGTGCGCTGGAAAACTCATCAATTAGCGATCTCTTCACAGTTCCATTCTCAATACTGTTATCTTCGTTCAGTCTCTGTGCAACAACTTGGAGAGGGCTTTCAGCTTCATTTGCTGGGTCTATATCCTACACATCAAAATGGTGAAAATGTAAATGTAAAATACTCTTAGTTTATAAAGGAATTCTTATAACATGTTTCTGGATCAGCAAGTATACCTCTATATCCCATAGGTCCTCATCCGTAAGCTCCAACTCCAACTTTGATGAGAGGTCCCTGTCCCTAACTTGGATTAGCTCTGGTGCGTGCTTCTCTACAATCTTTTCATCAGTGATGATTCTCATAACAGGGAAAGCATTGAGATAGTTTTGGAACTGTTCCTTACGAACAGCAATTCGAAATAACAGATTCTGTCCGATTAGAGTTTCAACCTCCTTAGGTAGACCCTTTCTTCCCTGCAGGTAATTCAATTAGTTAACAGAGATACAATACTTATGAAAGCTATAGTATATTAATGTTTTTCATTTAGGTGGTCCAAAGAGAATTAACTGGATACTTAGGTAGACCCTTTCATTTGGATCATTATATTAATGTTTTTCATGAGATAGCTTGGTTAGTAGTACTAAGCTAATAGTATAGGACATGATGAAATAGTATTAGTACCTTTGTATGGGTATCCTTCAAATCATCTGCACTAATTCCAATTAGATCGAGGCACTCCCTGTCCCATAGAAGAAAAGGAGCATTGCCATCCAAGTCCACAACTCTAACCTTAACTCTGTACCTCAGTGTCCCATCACCCCAATTTCTGTCACATGTACTACACCACAGCCACTTCCCTTTCAGCTTAAGCTTTTTGTTGCAACCCTTGGTTCGACACGAAGCATAGTACCACTCTGGATCATCAATGAACACAATCCTAGCTGCAACCCAGAAATCTCCAAACTGCATTCAACTTTATACAATTAGAGATGCAACTATAATATAATATATAATTCTAAAAATCTTTAGCTATCAGTAATTATTAATCGTCATTAGGCTATATAACTAACAAATATTAGTTCTGATTTTGCAGGTTTGGGTTTATTAGAGAGTATATGCTTGCAAAATCCAAAAAACAGAACTGCCACAACAGATGGTGGTCTAAAATTCTTAAATTAGATAAGTAACCAATGTTAGGCTCTATAAGACTTTATCACACTCCACAATTTCTGTTACCATTTATCTGATCCAAAACTAACAAATATCAGTTCTGATTTTGCAGGTTTGGGTTTATTAGAGAGTATATGCTTGCACAAACCAAAAAACAGAACTGCCAC